AAATGACCGACATGGGGCTTATGGCATATTATCTCGGAATTGAAGTAAAGCAAGGAAACGAAGGAATTTTTATTACTCAAGAAAGCTATGCTAAAGACCTCCTCAAGAAGTTCAAGTTGGATGATGCTAATCCAAGTTGAGTAAGGATGAAGAGGGAGAAAAGGTGGATCCAACCCTCTATAAAAGTCTTGTTGGAAGTTTGCGCTATTTAACTTGTACAAGACCAGACATTCTCTATGCCGTTGGAGTCGTGAGTCGGTACATGGAAGCTCCAACAACTACTCACCTCAAGACTGCGAAGAGGATTCTTCGATATATCAAAGGTACGACAAGCTTTGGCCTATACTACTCAAATTCTAACGATTACAAGCTTGTTGGATATAGTGATAGCGATTGGAGTGGAGATATGGATGACCGAAAGAGCACAAGTGGATTTGTGTTCTACATGGGAGACACAGCCTTTACTTGGATGTCCAAGAAGCAGCCTATTGTCACTTTGTCTACATGTGAAGCAGAGTATGTAGCTGCAACTTCATGCGTTTGCCATGCTATTTGGCTACGCAACCTATTGAAGGAGTTAAGCTTGCCACAAGTGGAGCCAACAAAGATTTACGTGGACAACAAGTCGGCAATAGCATTAGCAAAAAACCCAGTCTTCCATGATCGAAGTAAGCACATCCACACCCGTTACCATTACATTAGAGAATGCATCAGCAACAAGGATGTGCAAATGGAATATGTGAAGACGCATGATCAGGTAGCAGATATCTTCACCAAACCGCTGAAGAAAGAAGTCTTTATGAAGTTGAGAAGTTTGCTTGGAGTACAAAATCAAGTTTAAGAGGGGGTGTTGGAATATAAATTGATTTTGTATGTTGGGCTTAAAAGATAAAAGCCCAATATTAGCAAAGGCCCAAATAGAATTCTAGAAAATCCTATCTAAAAGATTCTAGAATGATGTACAAAATATCTATAGATGTTTATCCATAAGATGTTTCTAGATAAGTTTAGAAAAGTTTAGAATTGTAGGAATGTTTTAGAAAGTTCTAGAGAATGAATTATAGCCCTTAGATGAATGTTGTGGTGGCAAGATCCTAACTATTGGTTAAGGAGGTGCCACTAGTATAAATAGGGGATGGTTGTATCATTTGGATGTAAGCCAAAAAGTTTAGAAGCATTCAATACAACAAGCCTTTCTTTCTCTCAAAATCTTCCAACCTCTCCCAATCTTAAACACTTCCTTCTAGCCTTTAAAGTTTCTTCCCAACACACTTCTCTCTGAAACCATCTCAGTCAAATGAAGTTGCTCCCTTTCTTTAGCAATTTCATCTAATCTCTCACTTATGCTTTTCATTTTCTTAGCAATTTTGTAATTGGAAACAACATGCTTGGGATAAAAAGAGGATAAGCAAGAGCATTGTACCTTGTCTAATAGACCACACTTGATTCCTTGGTACTCCAACCCCAATTCTTTATAGACACACTCATCCAAAATGTCATCTAAAGATGTGAGCTGCATCTTTTAGCTTTTGCAGCCAATCTTTTATAGCTCTGTCTGAGAGTTGTTTCTCTGCAGCATCTTCAAGCGTAGCCTTGATTGCAGTGAACAAGCTAGAAAGCCTTTTCATTTCTTTATCAAAACCCAAAATTAGTCCCAACTCCTTTTGAATGAGTGAGTTCAAATTCTCAAGCACAACTTCAAGGACAGCCTCAGCCATCTTCCAAATTCTAACTCACAAAATGGAAATAGAAGAGGGGTTGTATGCTTCAGAATTGGCAATGCAATGATATGAACAAGTGAGAGATAAGATTAAAATGCAGAGGAGACGTAAACTAGGGAAGTCAACAACTAGCCCACAAACAAATGAATTATAAAAAATAGACTAGTTCAGATTTCAAAATATGCTTTAGAGAAAGTGAAACTTGGTCCAATGGGGAAGCCACAATGAAATCAAACAACAAGCAGGCTTCGCTAATAACTGACAACAGTAGCCTAATGTTGATAACACACGTTACACATCTAAATTAAAGATGCTTCCTTGCTATATGTATTTTATTTTATTTTTTTGGGTTTAAATAATAATAATAATAAATTAAGAATGTAAAATACAAAGTAAAATCAACTAAAATAAAATGAAATCTTTCAAACAATTTAAGAGGCAAGGCATATAACAAACATAGAAATTATGTCTTTTGGTGTGTGAAGTAAACTAAAGTAATTGAATGCTGACAAGATTTAGGTTAGTGGAGGGAATTAATACAACAGATGCAACCGTGATAGTGGAAGCAAGTTAGAACAAAGGATAAAAAAAGAAAGAATACATAATTCTGTGCATACCCAATATCTATATAAAATCCATAGTGTAAACAGAAACTTCCAAGCTTTAGCGTGAAAAAAAAAATATGGAGACGCGTCTTTGCATTTAGGAGTCATCATGGACTAGTTTAGAAATAACCCTCCTTTCTCATTGTTTGAATGCTATGTAGCACGAAACTTTCTTTTGAAATACCTACCCTTGATCAGTTTCACATTTAGCGTGCTTCATTATGGCACAACAAGTATCATGCCATCATCATCCTCTCCTATAACCATGTAAACTTATGATGTCTTTCTTAGTTTTTGTGGTGAAGATACTCGTTTTGGTTTTACTGGTAATCTGTATAGTGTTATACAAAACAAAAAAGATAGGGATTTTGTCAGCATTTTATGATATAGATTCAATTAGGAATTCCATATTCGATTGAGGCTCTCAAGGAAACAATGTTGGGAGAGAAGTGAACAATAATACATTACTTAGTTATGCTGTACTGACACTTAAAAACTTAACTATTGTATTCTGGGCTCATTTGTGCACATTTTTTCAATATGAAAATTTATGACATTTTTGTTAGTTTTATTCTTGTGAGCCAATAATACCTTTCTTTTATAATTTGTAATGTGTTTGTTACAAATTCTTGATTAAAAATATGTATCGGTTCGTACATATGGCTGTCCAGAATAAAAAAATATACTCATTCGCTTACCTTATTACAGCCTTGTAGTAAAAGTAACAATAAAACTTGTAGGAACCTGTTGAGAACCTGTTGAGAACTGCCTTTGGAAGTTGCATATTTTTAGGAATATTTCAGATTTGTTTTAGTTTGAATAAGTCAATTTAATTAGAATTTATCATTAGTCGTTAGTGGACTATCTATTTCCTATTTTTCAGCTAAGTTATTAGTAGTGGTTGCTAGAGTCACAGAATGTGATCTTTAAGTCAGTTATTTTCAATGTATTTAAATTAAATTGCATTTATATAGAAAAATATAATTTTTCACATCCAGCACATTTAGTCTACTTTTTTACTCTCTCTATTCGTTCTCTGTTTTGCTCTGTTAGCAATTGTCTTTCCTCTCTAAAACCAACAATTGGTATCCGAGCCCTCTTCTTGAGGGACCTGTGTCTTTCTACATTATCATGGAACCTGAAACAAGCTTTTCCCAAGCCGCTCTCCCAGTCTTTGATGGGGAAAACTATGACCTCTGGGCAGTGAGGATGGAATCTGTTGAGATTTCCGTTGAAGTACTTTTTATTATAATTATAGATTAGGTTACTTCCCTCAACGGACTCAAACACGGCAAGTGTACCGGCCGTACAAGTAGTAAAAATATCGTATCCACAGGGATTAGAAGGTAAACTAAGCATTCATTGGCTACTTGTGACTTGAGAACAATCCCAATAAATATGAATATGAATTTAAGAACAAAACTACTGGAATTGTTAAAACACAAATAAATGAATTAGAAATGAAATGGGGTGAGAAATGGTAAAATGGACACTTGAAGTTGTGGGGGTTTGATTTCACCAAACAAACACTAGTGAATCCTATGTCTCTTGTTACAACCATTGTTCAGTCAACCATAAATTTACTCAGACCTAATTCCTTAGAGAAAGAGCCTAGGTGCAAAATATTGAATATCAATCCCTTGAGTACTCAATACCTCCACCCGCATTACCGGTTAGGGTTTTAAGACTACTAATGGGTCAAGCCCTATCCCTAGGTACAATTCCCACTAGGCATATGTTCAGAACTAGTTTCAAGGATATTTCCCAATACTCAATGAAACCTTAAATCATGCAAAGGGTGATCAAGCCAAAGCAAGCATTAAGCATGGAATCATACACAACAAAGAATGAAACAAAACATATATATATCATTAACACAAAAGGATTACAATAAAGTTTGTTGGTTACATCAAAACCCCAATACAAAGGATAGAACCTCTCAAAACAAAGAGGGGAAAAATAAAATAGAGATGGAAGAGGAAAGGAAGAACCGAAGGAATGATCCACCATGGCCGTTCCCAAGCTCTGGGAATCCCTTCCACAGCTCCTGGAGGCGCCCCTGAGTGAATGAGGGAGAAAACCCTCAAAATTTGCCTTTTATACGCATTTGGGGAGACAGATTAGGTTTTACGCGCTCAGCGCGTTAAGCTGCGCGCTCAGCGCGGGTGCTTTCCCTGATGCTCCAATTGCTCTCGGCCTCGAGCGCGCTCAGCGCGTTTTACTTGCGCGCTCAGCGTGAAGCTCCAAAGGCTGAGAGTTCTCTCTGTTTTGTGCCCGCTCGGCGCGTGTTCTGGCGCGCTCAGCGCGGTAGCCTTCTCTGCTCCTTAATTCTTTGAGTTTCCACTCCAATGGCCTTTTTATCCTCAATTCTCTACTTGAATACCTGCATATACAAAAGAAACCAAAATGAGAACAATTAAAATGCAATGATACAAAGAATGGAAGAATTTGATCATTAAATCTTGTATAAAAACAAGTATAATTTAGGCTCATCAGAATCTTACTTGGAGGCATTTGATCTTTGGGAAGCTGTGGAAGAGGATTATGATGTCCCTCCGCTGCCGGACAATCCTACCATGGCCCAGATAAAGAATCATAAGGAAAAAAAGCACGAAAAGCAAAGGCAAAATCATGCCTTTTTGCTGGTGTCTCTACAACAATCTTCACTAGAATCATGACTCTCAAATCAGTTAAAGCAATTTGGGATTATTTAAAGGCAGAATACGTGGGAGATGAAAGAATACGGAGCATGCAGGTGCTTAATTTAATGAGAGAATTTGAGTTGCAAAGGATGAAAGAGTCTGAGACAATTAAGGAATACTCAGACAAGTTGTTGAGTATTGCCAACAAGATAAGGTTGCTGGGTAGTGACTTTGCTGATTCCAGAATTGTTGAAAAAATTCTGGTAACGGTACCCGAGAGGTATGAAGCATCCATAACCTCATTGGAGAACTCAAAGAATCTGTCAAAGATAACTTTGGCAGAAGTGCTACATGCCTTGCAGGCACAAGAGCAACGAAGGTTAATGAGAGAAGATCGTGCCGTTGAAGGTGCACTTTCAGCCAAGCATAATGTTGCTGGATATAATAAAAAGAATTTTTTTTAAGAAGAACCCGTCAACAAGCAACGAGAATACAACAAACAACCAAAACAAAGGCAAGGGTAAAAAGAAAAGTTACCCACCTTGTCAGCATAGCGGAAAAATAGGTCATCCTCCATTCAGATGTTGGAAGAGACCTGACGCAAAGTGCAGTAAGTGCAATCAGATCAGACATGAAGCTATAATGTGCATAGCAAACATCCAGCAAGTTGTAGCTGATGCACAAAATGCGCAAGAGAATGAAGACCAGCTATTTGTTGCTACCTGTTTCTCCACCAATAGTTCAAGTGAATCTTGGTTGATAGATAGTGGTTGTACCAACCACATGACTTATGATAGAGAATTGTTCAAGTGTTTGGACAACACCGAAGTCAAATGGGTCAGAATCGGGAATGGTGAACAAATTCCAGTAAAAGGCAAGGGATCAATAGTTATAACAAGCCACATAGGTACGAAAACCCTCTCTGATGTTTTATATGTACCTGAAATTAACCAAAACCTGCTTAGTGTTGGACAATTGCTAGAGAAAGGGTTCAAAGTTATCTTTGAAGATAAAAGCTGCATAATTAAAGATCCTACAGGTCTTGACATGTTTAAAGTCAAAATGAGGAGCAAGAGTTTCTCATTTGATCCAATGAAGGAGGAGCAGGTTGCGTTTCCAGTTACAGCAAGCTCAGTTGATCTTTGGCACAAAAGGCTGGGTCATTTCCATCATTTGGGAATGAACTATATGCTGAAAAATCAACTAGTCTGTGGAGTTCCTTCCTTGACAGAGAAGCTAGCTGAATGTGAAGCTTGCAAACTTGGGAAGCAAACAAGGAAACCATTTCTTGAAAGTAGTTGGAAGGCAAGTAAAAAATTGCAGCTAGTTCACACTGATGTTGCTGGACTACAAAGAACTCCATCACTAAAAGGAAGTCTTTATTATATAATTTTTATTGATGAACTAACGAGAATGTGTTGGATTTTCTTTCTTAAATACAAATCGGAAGTAGCTGCGGTGTTTTGGAAATTCAAAGCACATGTTGAAAATCAAAGCAATAGTCGTATTCAGATTTTGAGGTCGGACAATGGAAAAGAGTATATAGCAAATCAGTTTCAACAATTTTGTGATGAAGCTGGGATTGAGCATCAATTGACAGCTCCTTACACTCCACAACAAAATGGAGTGAGTGAAAGGAAAAATAGATCAATCATGGAGATGGCCAGGTGTATGCTTCATCAAAAGGAATTACCAAAGAAGTTTTGGGCCGAAGCTGCAAATACAGCGGTGTTTATTCAAAACAGAATTCCTACACGAGCTGTACAAAATCATACTCCTTTTGAAGCCTGGTTTGGTTTTAAACCTTCCTTAGATTTTTTTAAAATATTTGGTTGCTTGTGCTATTCACATGTACCTCAGGTTAAGCGTGATAAACTTGACAAAAGAGCCGAACCTGGAATATTTATAGGCTATAGCACGATCTCTAAAGCTTATAGGATTTTTCAGCCTCAAACTGGAAAAATTCTTATAAGCAGAGATGTGCACTTCATGGAGGACGAAAAATGGTGCTGGAGTGACTCAAAGAAGAACCAGTATGTTGTACTAGAGCTTTGAGATACAGTAGATGATGCACCCATTCGAGGTACAAGGTTGCTTTCTGAAATCTATCAAAACAGCAATGCAGAAGCGTGCAATATAGCAGTGTGCGAACCAGCCAATTTTGAAGAAGCTGCTATGGAGCAGAAATGGCTAGCTGCAATGAAAGAAGAGATGTCCATGATCGAGAAAAATCAAACCTGGGTGCTTGTTCCAAGACCCCATGACAAAAATGTCATAGGGGTGAAGTGGGTGTTTCGAACAAAACTTAATCCTGATGGATCTCTAAACAAGTACAAAGCAAGACTTGTTGTGAAGGGCTATTCTCAAATTTTTGGAGTTGATTATGCAGATACCTTCGCTCCAGTAGCAAGGCTTGACACAATAAGGTTACTACTTGCCATTGTTGCTCAAAATGGGTGGCAAGTGTTTCAAATGGATGTCAAGTCAGCCTTTCTCAATGGTTTTTTGCAGGAGGAGATTCATGTTGAGCAACCAGAAGGTTTTGTAATCAAGGGACAGGAAGATAAAGTCTATTTGTTGAAAAAGGCTCTATATGGCTTGAAGCAAGCTCCTAGAGTATGGTACAACAGAATTAATGATCATTTATTGAGCTTGGGCTTTAAAAAGAGCCAATATGAAGCTACACTCTATGTCAAACATGTTGATGATGATATTTTAATCATCTCTTTGTATGTTGATGATCTTTTGGTGACAGGAAGCAACCAAGCACAAATTAATAAGTTCAAGCAAGAAATGAAGGATGTCTTTGAGATGACTGATCTTGGTCTTATGACCTATTTCCTGGGCATGGAAATCACTCAGAAGAAGAATGAGATTTTTATATGTCAAAAAAAATATGCAAAGGAGATCCTAAAAAAGTTTCAGCTGGATGAATGCAAAATAATGAACACACCTATGAATCAAAAGGAGAAGTTCAGCAAAGAAGATGGAGCTGACAAAGTTGATGAAATGCATTTTAGAAGCTTGATTGGGTGTCTTATGTATCTTACACCCACAAGGCCTAACATTTTATTTCCAGTTAGCGTGCTATCAAGATTCATGCATTGTGCTAGTGAACTGCACTTGAAGGCAACAAAAAGAGTTGTGAGATACATCAAAGGGACAATCAACTATGGAGTCAGGTACTACTAGGTACAGGACTTCAAATTATCTGGTTTTCCTGACAGTGATTGGGCAGGTAGCTTCGATGATATGAAAAGTACTTCAGGGTACTGTTTTAGTATGGGTTCAGGAGTGGTCTCTTGGTGTTCCAAGAAGCAAGAGGTTGTAGCTCAGTCAACAGCAGAAGCTGAGTTTATTGCAGCTGTAGCAGTTGTGAATCAAGTTATTTGGTTGAGGAATATCTTGATAGATTTGGGTTTGAAGCAAGAAAAAAGCACAGAAGTTTTTGTTGATAACCAAGCAACAATTTCAATCTCACAAAATCCTGTGTTTCATGGGAAGACCAAGCATTTTAATGTGAAGTTGTTTCACTTAAGAGAAGTTCAAGAAAATGGTGATGCAAGTTTAGTTTACTGCCGCATAGAAGACCAAGCTGCTGATATGTTTACCAAACCTTTTCCACTCAGCAGGTTTGAATTCCTAAGGAAGAAGCTGGGAGTTTGCAGCCTCCAAGGCAAGGAGGAGTGTTGAGAACTGCCTTTGGAAGTTGCATATTTTTAAGAATATTTCAGATTTGTTTTAGTTTGAATAAGTCAATTTAATTAGAATTTATCATTAGTCGTTAGTGGACTATCTATTTCCTATTTTTCAGCTAAATTATTAGTAGTGGTTGCTAGAATCAGGGGATGTGATCTTTAAGTCAGTTATTTTCAATGTATTTAAATTAAATTGCATTTATATAGAAAAATATAATTTTTCACATCCAGCACATTCAGTCTGCTTTTTTACTCTCTCTATTCATTCTCTATTTTGCTCTGTTAGCAATTGCCTTTCCTCTCTAAAACCAACAGAACCCACTTTACAAAATGAATATCAGGATAAACTCAAGGAAGAATCCTCATGAAATCTGCGCACAAATCATCAGCTATAGCACTGAAAAAATAGAGAGAAAATTACAATAACCAATTGATTAAATGATATGTACGGTCTTTCCAATTATTAGATGATGCAGTAACAATTGAATTAAATTAAAATATCATAGTTCCTCTACACTTCATTCACAGTATCACAGAATCTGGCTCCTGAAAGGGGTTATCTTTTTTAATTTTCTGTAATTCACAATATCATAATTATCAAACATCATTTAATTTTCTGTAATATCTGAGTTTACTGTTGTTTCTATGGGGATGAAAAAGTAGCAATAATATCCATAAAACACCCATTTTAGCCCTCATAATTTGTACTGACCCTCCATTCATCAGTAGTATGGATTGATGTTTGAAGACTGCTTTCTTAGGGAAGTAATCATCTATTTGAATATAAGTTTATAAATACTTAAAAATTTTACTAGAAAGTATTCTTTATTTTTAGTTAACAAACTCTAAAAACACTTATACCTTATATCTAAATATACTCTAAATGTATTTAGTGGAAACTAACAAGATGTATTTATCTGGGCTTTGCCTTCGCCAACATTGGTAAAGAACTCCCGTTAGAGAGTCGGATCCTGTCAACATGCTTAAAGAACCGGTTATCTGCCAACTCAGCTTAATGTGAGTTTCTGTTTTCTGTATTCAAAATGCTTTTTGCTTGCCTTTTATTTAATGATCCACTACATAAGTATTATTTCAATTTCCCAAAATACTTATATATATTGAGAAAAATCCAAGTCCTGTCAATTCTAGATCATTAAAAAGGGTCACCCACCATTTATCCACGTACCAAGCTCAATAGTGCTGGACGTGAGGGGCTGTATTGGGAAAAACCCAAGTCCCACATCGACTAGAGATTAGGTAATTGAATAATATATAAGTGGAAAGTAACGCTTATCTTACAAGCCGGTTTTGTAGGGTTGAGTTAGGCTTAATCCGCTATTCTAAGATGGTATCAGAGCCATTTAGATCTACTTTAAAAATGGGCCACCCACCATTGATGCATGCCTCGTAGGCATAAGGGGGTGTATTGGGAAAAACCCAAGTCCCGCCAATCATAGATCATTAAAAAGAGCCACCCACCATTTATCCACGTACCAAGCCCAATAGTGCTGGACGTGAGGGGGTGTATTGGGAAAAACCCAAGTCCCACATTGACTAGAGATTAGGCAATTATTTAGTATATAAGTGGAAAACAACCCTCACCTTACAAACCTGTTTTGTAGGGTTGAGTTAGGATTAAATCTACTATTCTAAGACCAAGCGTTTTAAAATATTAATTTTTACAAAGTGGTCTTTTTGGTTTTTTAACCCATATAGTGTAATTTTCTTTTAAAATTCTCAAAATGGGTAGATTTAAAAAAAAATCC